GCCAGTCTCTCCCCTCACAGCGGGGGAAACTGAGGCAGGGAGGGCGGGAATGTGTATTGCACGCACCCCCATGTGAGAACTGAGGGTTTTCCCCCTCCCAGGCCCTCACTGTTCACTTTCTCCCGTCTGCAAGCAGAAGGCCTGGTGCCACAATAACAACGCTACAGGGGAAGGAAAGGAGATATTATCTCTCTGTCCGTCACTCTTCTGCCAAAAATCACCCATGGGAGGAGCTGGCTGAAAGATGCACGAAAGGTTGTCAGAGCTGGAGCAGCTTCGCCATGAGGTTGAAATCCCCAAGTCTGATCCGAGCCGCTGAAATGTTCTGCCCAAGCAGGGCACAAGGTGGAAGCAGACACCTGGAGTCTGCCAGCAGAAAGGATGGCTCAAACCTGGCCACAGGGGTCCTCTGGTGTCATGCTGGAACACGCAGGCCAGCCCCAGGGTGGCTCTGCTGGGTCTCTGGCTGGGACCTGAGGGCCAGAGGCCCTGGCTGAGACTGGACCAAGGGTCTGCCAGCGTTTTCCCGGTACCCGAGGCACCCCCCGGGCAGACCCAGGCCACGTCCGGACCCTTTCCTGCCTCCCACCTGGGTCCAGCATCTGTATCTGGTTGTGGGACAAGTCCAGGACGCGCAGGTGTAGCAGGGGCCGCAGGTTCTCCACTCTGCGGATGCGATTTCCAGCCAGGGAGAGGAATCTGCGGAGCACAGGGAGGGCAGTGGTGTGAGGAGGGGGGAATGCCACAGCCCCCAGGGTCAGAGCCAGCAGCACCAGGCTGTCAGGGGCTGCAACTCAAATCCCCCCGGCTCTGCCAAGGGAAGGAGGGAGCCCCACTGTCCTCTGACCATGGAAAGCTATCTCCTTGGGGGCAGGAGCTGCCCGTACCGCAGGTTGGGAAAGCAGCCCAGATTCTCGATCTTCTCAATGTGGTTCTGAAAAAAAAAACGCAAAAGCAACGTGTTTTTCTACTGCATGAAAAATCAGACTTCAGGAGGCACCCCGGAATCACTCCAACCTCACACAGACAACATGATGTCCCACCACTGCCATGGGAGCTTTATGGAGGGGGTACGGGGCTGTGACAGCACGGGCAGACCAGCACGGTTCAGAAGGACCCCAAGGCTCCTCATGCGGGTTTGAAAAACACCGAGTGGCTGACGCCAGACCCTCGCTCGAATTCCGTCGGTGGCACTGTCATCGGAGGGGAGCGCTGCCAGCCCCTCTGGCCATGCGGGGAGGCAAAACTCCGGGGCAGAACTGGGGGTGTTTGTGGTCCCCCCGAGGAGGCCTTTACCCGCAGGACCAGGGCTGATCCCCACTGCCCCGCGCCTGCCGTAGTGCCTTACCTGCTGCAGGTAGAGGCTGTGAATCTCCCACAGGCTCTGGAGTCTCCCAATAGCACAGATGTTCTCCCGGTCCAAGCGGACGGTCGAGGGGGACACCAGCTCCGTGGATCTAGAGGAAGGGGGACGCTCGGGGTGTCCTTTGTGCCAAGAGACCCTCCCTGGTCAGCCTGGGTGACGAAGGTGGGCCCTGTGCAGATCCTCACCGGCTCTTTGGGTGCGGGGGCTCCACCAGCCGAGGCAGGTTCCTCGTAGTGATGAGGTGGTCGGTGAGGGTCACCCCCGGAGATGTCTCCTCATGGCCTGCGGGAAACCCAGAGTGACGGGGCCCAGGCCAGCGGGGTCCAGACCCCCCCCCCCAACCC